GATGAAATCCTTGTATGCTTATACTTTGTTGTGCATATATCTTGCTGGAAATAAGCTGTTCTGACTCAAGATTGTATGCCATTGCAGTTCAAGTACTTTCTCAAAGACCCGGTTAAAAATGATGTCAAATATCAGGCAAGTCATCTTTCCTTCTGCAGGAATAGATACAAATCAATCACCAACATTTTGACCAGTATTGCTATGTTAAGATTCTAAGTGCAATAAGTGGATGGAAAATCAATTTGCATATTGAGAGATCTATAAATCTGCACAATTGATGCAGTCAGTTTCATCTAAATGCTTAATACTCAACCGTCGATTCCTTTAAAAAATCTGTCCCTGAAACATTCCTATCAAAGTTCCTTGGACTGTTGTATACGTGCATAGTTGGGAAGGTACTCTTAGGAGCTCGAAAATGTATAAGCATTGAGTTTCTACCAGATTCTCCCTGCTAATGGATTTGGAACCCATTGTAGGTTCATCTAGAGATATTGTCGATTCCAGAATCCTCAACCTACGTACACCTGACCCCGCTGGAATAATTAGAATTCTCGACCTTCAATTCTGTAAAATGACGCTCCTTAGAATCCTGATAATCATTATTTGGCAATTGTGCAAATGTGATGGGATTGGATTGGTTTGTGTTGGTCTGGTTCTCGAAAAAACTGAACCAATTGACAAAGGCACAATCATAAGCACCAGTCACCAACAAACGATAAGGCATCATTGAGACGAAATCCTCTCCTATCATTACTAAATCAAATAAAGTTGTCTTAATTTTACATGAAATACTTGTAAAACCTTGTTCTTTCTATTTCAGGCCAGTGCTCAACCATTTCTTATACTTGGTCTATTGGTAACTGCTTTGGCAACTAGCCACTAATCCTCACGTGGGGCTTGATATTAGAAATATAGGGAATCTGATTGCACCTGGAAGAGAAAAGTTCATTGTTTTATCTACTGAAGAAGACGTTCAGATGCCCATTTTCATAGCTTCTGTCTAGCTCCCAGCCTGTTGTACGTAAATTTTCTTCACTGCTAATCATGTTTTTCGGTTTTTATGCTTCATTTTTCTGTTTTCGCCACAATTATCTGATATCCACTTGTATTGTTTTATAATTTACATAGTCAAATTAGAAAATTTGTATTACAACAATTTCACTCTCCTTTTCCCATTCTCTTTATTTTCATTAAAATAGCGTGTACTCATTTTATCGTCCAAAATTGACTTGCTGTTAGAGACTAGTACTCTTGCTAAAGGCACAAGTTGAACACTAGAGCATGTTTGACTAAGCTTAGAAGGTTTATTTTTAAATAAATTTACTTGTAAGTACGAAAGTAAACATCAAAATAAATAACTTTCAAGTTGGTTGTGGAGTCACTAGTTATAACTTACTTTAGAGAGCTGAAAAATACTTATCAACAACCCAAAATGTTGCATGTCTTAAGAATTAGAAATCCTAATTCTGTACACAAAGAACAATAAAATTGCAATAAAAAAACAGACATAAGAGAACTCTCAAAATTTATAGAAGCTTGCTTCAATGTGAAAAGAAGTTACGAGTGAAATGTATAATTCATCAATTTTCTGCCTCGGCTTGCACGCTACATCATTCGCGGTTACTCAACGTACCAACCAATCGCCTTCCAACAAAGTGTGCTCTCACACGTGGCAACATTTTGACAGAAGCACGGTGCGAACAGGATGTGGAGAATTTCTTCCACGCTCTAATTCGATATGAGGCAGTGGCGGGGATCTGGTGATACAAAATTATAATGGAAAGAATGTTGATGATATAATTCTTGAAGCATGGAAAAGAGTTATGTAAAGGGAATGGAACTCTTCATTGTGCTCCTCTGGTACTGCTGGAGGGTAAGAAACATGAAAAAACTTTGATGAAATCAGCTGGGAATCTAAAAAAACATTCTTGGAGGGGCTGAGACTTGCAGCTCACCGCGGTTCATTGCCTTTAGGGAGGGTGGAGTCCGTTTGCAGTAACGTCATTGACGCCATTCATAATCCTAGCATCCATGCCTTGAAGGTGGCCGTCATAAGCAGCATCAGAGGCTCAAGATCATCGTTCCTAGCTTTATCATTATATCTTATTCGATGTGAAGCAAATGACATCGCTCATGTCGTTGCAAAACTTTCAGGAGTGTGTGTGGATCGATTGCCTTCTTGATTTTATTGAAAACATTTTTGCTTCTGATATTTGCCTTGCTCTCAGAAAAAGATAGTAAGAATCAAATAATGAAGAGTTTCCTATATATAATTTCTACTTGTTTCTTTTGAACACCTCTTAATGTCCAAATTAAATACGTGATACAATGTGATGGTTACGAGTAGGGGTGGGCAAAATACCTATCTAATCGACCCAAATCGCAAGCCAGTTCAATATGACAGGTTGGAAGGGTGGTTTGATTTTCGAGTTGGCTTGAATCCAATAAATCGAACTAACTCGACTTAGTTTGAATCAATTTATTCATCTTGTCGATTTGATTTCTGATTGATATTTCACCCAATCTGAAGTGTCAGTTCGATTCTTGAGTTGAGTTCGAACCTGATCCAATGCGACCGTGCGCCCACCCCTAATTACAAGAATTATAGAAAGCTTATAAGTTGAAAAGATGCCAATTAGAATTTAGGGATTTAAAGTTGACAAAGTCGTTGCAAACATCAGGAGGGGTCCCTCGTATAACTTTCACAATCTTCGATATAGTTTTAATTGTCTTGAAAATTTCAATTTTTATTTTCAATGAATATGGAATCAACTGATCTTTTTAATTTACATAATAATTTATTTATGCAAAGACTTGATTCCGATTTAACAATGAATAAACCTCGCACCAAGTCTCCAAATGAAGCCTGACCTTATTTTATATGAATAAAAACCATAGAAATTTGAACTCTAAAAATATCATATATTATAATAATTCTAAGTGCACGGTTGACAATCATATGTTATCATAATTCTAGCATGTAATATAGAAAACAGTTTTTTAAAATGGTTGAATATAATTATGTCAAATAGGATGTTGTCAACCAATATTCTACATGTAGCATAATTCCAAATATTAATAGATTGGAAGGTGATTTACACGATGCCTTTTGTTGAAATAGTCGTCACCGTAATATTAAAGATGCTCTTACTACCTTATGGGCAACTATTTGTCCTGGCCATGGATGGCAACTAGTTATATGATTAATATTTTCATTGACATTTTCTCAAACTTCATTAATCTATGGCCATTATTAAGGGTAGCACGACTATGATCTTGTGGCGTTTCACAATTCAAGTAAGATTCGTAAGTTTTGTGATTACGGGGTCAAGATAATATCTGCGATTGTGTTGATTCTCTGGTTCAATAATTTATCGTGTCTAATTTTTCAAACGTTGATTTTTGACTTTCTTAGGTCTGATATAATCTGTCGTGGATTTCGTAACTTCAATTTTTACGTGAATTCGCATCGCAAACGGTTTTAATTTTTCTATATAATTGAGTTTTGACGTACGAATGAAATGACCGAACAAGAGAATTGAATAAGAAATACCCATGTAAGTCTCATGTAGTTGGTAAGAAAATAGCGCATATCAGTTAAAGAAGCATGGTGGTTATGTATTCTCCGACAAAACCAGATCTATTTTCCGCACTAAGAGCCTTGAGCATAGTGGTGGCAAATGAGCCGAGCGGCTCGTCGGCTCGCCCGCTCGGCTCGTACTGTTCACGCTCACGAGCCGCTCGGGCTCGTAAAAAAACGAGCCCGATCACGAGCCGAGCGGGCT